TCTCCGCGCCCGCGACGCCCCGCTCGCCTCCACCCGCGGGAAAGAGCGTCCTAACGCGCCCGCGGCTCTGCCCCACAGCGGCCCCTACAGGCCGGAGGCTGCGGCGCAGGGACTGGGGGCTGCGGGGACGCCGCTCCGGTCACCTCCCAGGCCCTCGGCCAGCCCCAGAGGATTGGTGGACTGGAGTTTGCAAGGGGCCTTTTTGTTTTCTTTTGTCTCTTACATTTTTACTTTTAGTTTTCAGCCTCCCAGGTTCAAATAACTTCCAATTTTGTGTGTGTCTCGTATAAAGAAATCAAGGCATCATCTAGAATTATATAAATTTATAGAATGGAAGGGCATTGAAGGAAGGCTTAAATCTGGTCTCCTGCCCCCATTTTAGGGGCACAGTCATTCAGATGTATAGTTAATACTCGGCCATTCTCTTAGTGCCTCTAGATGCCAAGATGCAAGCTATGTGTGTAGGATAGATATGGGTCCCTGTTTGCAAATACTTTCCAGATTAAAGTTTGTGGGGATACAAGTTATAGTAAAACCAACAAAATGGAATAGCAGGTGCCCAGATCTTGGCATGGAATTATGTAAAGCTTTGGCAAATAGATTTTGAATTTAAAAGTTGTTCTCTCAAGCCAAATTATCTTTATATTTGATTTGATGTTTCATTTTTAGAAGTTCACTCATATCTGATACTACCAGGCAATCTTCTGACAAAATAAGTTAAATTTCAATAAAAAACCTGTTCGTGACATAAAAAGTTGCTGAACATTACTCATCATCAGGGAAATGCATATCAAAGCCACAATGAGATATCACCTCACACCTGGTCGAATGGCCATTATAAAAAAGACAGGGTCTTTTGCAAAGCAAAAGTTTTGAACTTTGACAAAGTCCAAATTATCCATTTTTATTTATTGTTTGGCTTGTGCTTTTGGTATCATTTCTAAGAACTCTTTGTTTATTTCTAGTTTGTGAAGAGTTTCTCCTATGTTCTCTTCTAGAAGTTTTATAGTAATATGTTTTACATTTAGCTCTATAATACATTTTGTATTAGATTTTTTATAAAGTGCAAGATTTAAGTTGAGATGTAGTGTTTTTTTTGTCTTTTTTTTTTTTTTTGGCCAATTGCTGTCCATTCATATACTTGTTTTAATTTGGGCATTGTCTTTAACAAAAATATTTACTCTTCTTTATTTTTCTATTGGGTTTTCTAATTTGTTCTTACTGATTTGCATGAGTTCTTAAAAAATACTAGATATGAGTCTCTTTTTGGATGTATTGCAAATATCTTCTCCCAATTGTGACTGATTGTGATTGATTGATTGCTTTTTCATTCTCTTAATGGCATCTTTTTTTTTAATCCTCACCAAAGAATATTTTTTCCATTGCTTTTCAGAGAGAGAGAGAGAGAGAGATGATTAGTTGCCTCCTGCATGCACCTGGACCAGGGACACAGATCAAGCCTACAACTGAGGTATGTGCCCTTGGCCAGAATCGAACCCAGGACCCTTCAGTCCATAGGCTGATGCTCTAACCACTGAGCAAGACTGGCCAGGGCTCTTAATGGTATCTTCTGATGAATAATAGTTCTTAATTTTAAATTCAATGATCAATTCCTTGAAAAATTGAAATTCACTTTACTAACCCTTATGATTAGTGTTCTTTTGTATCATGTTTAAGGATATCATTTTCTACATCAAGGTCATGAAAATATTCTCCTTTGTCATCTTCTAGAATACGAGAATCTTTATTGTTTTCTCTTTCTTGTCTAGATCTACAATCCTTTTAGAGTTATATTTGTGTAATGTGTGAGGTAGGAATTAACATTCATTTTTCCCCCCATATGGATTTTTAATTGACCGGCACTGCTTATTGAAAAGACCATCCTTTCCCCATTGCACTGCAGTACCACCATTATAAAAAATTAAGGACTGTATGTGTGGGGGGGACTTCCAGGGAACTGGCTTATGTAATTGTGGGAGTTGGTTAAGGAGGTTCTGTAAGGCCGCCTTCTCCTGGTCTGATGCTGGAGCTTGAAGTCCAGGGTTGGCTGTCAGGAAGGGAAGATCATGAAGCGGGTTTGAACTCACAACCATGAGTTGGAAACCCACAAGGAGGGACTAAAACCTTTTTTTTGTTGTTGCCTCTGACCTTGGAGACAGGGGTATCCTGCAGAAGCCCCCAGTTATAGAGCTAAACACATAACTGGCCAAGGAGTCAGGAAAAATTTAGGAGATTTTTAGCCAACAATTAAATGTTGTATTTTCCTAGTTTCTCCTCTTTTTGGGATTCGAAGTATCCATATATTAAAACTACTCTCTGTGTTCCAAATGTCTGTCTGTCTGTCTCTCTCTTCCTCTCTCTTTTGTATTTTTCATCCTGTTTTCTCTCTCTGCTTCAATCTGGATATTTTCTACTAACTTGGTTTCCAGATTGCTAAGTCTCTCTTCAGCTAATGTGAGATAATAAAAAAGGCAGGAACCTTTATTGTCTGCATATTCTTCTGTTGTCTCTTCATATGACAATAACTTTGTTAAATTTTCTCTAGAGAATAAATAAAAATTACCCAATCATTTCTCTAGTATAGCTGTTCAAAAACTTTATTATTAATAATTTA